CACTGTCCCATCGGGCGCGCTGTCTGCCCCCAGGCCTTTGAGAGACGCGCCGTGGGGCGGATCCTTGCAAAGCCCGCTCCGGCAGGTGGTAGGCGGGGGGGCAGAAGTGCCGGGAGGGCGGTGGGTGTGGCGGAATGAATGATGGGCCGCCCACCATGGACGGGACGTGGGAAGCGTCGTCCTAACAGGCAGCCGTCACCCTGGAGGTCAGGCGAGGGAACGAGTCGTCATCCAGCTTCGGACACCTGATGGCGGTCCAGTATCCACATCGGTGCCCAGCTGAGAAATTAACATGAACTATTTTGAATACGGTTTGAACGTGCCCTTATTGAATGACTCAATGATGATAAATACATTTGAATTTAGCTTAACGAGGACCCGCGCAGACGTACCAATTATAATGCCAAGACCATGGATAAAACAAGGGAGTCCCATCTGCGTACGAGCCAAGAATGAGTGGGGTCACAAGCCAGCGTATGTGTATGCTTGGAGTGAGTGTGGTGGGGCGCCGAATGCGTGGTGTCTGCGTGGGTTGGTTAGGCCGGAGCGTGACTCCCGCGTTCGTTTCCAGCGGGCTCTTGCCAATGTAATTCGCCAGTTGTGTGGATCCCTGTCAATCAGACGTATCATCACCGCATCTGGTTCTGTTTTTGCCTCATTTGAATATCATCAACTAAAAAGGTGGAGGTTGGATACCATGGTTAAGGGTGTACAGCCATGTTTCAAAGAGACGGCCTTTCATGGTGCCTGACCGGACCTACAACCACGCCAATGCCCCAGTCACCCGCTTCATCCTAGCTCTGTGGCTCACATGAATGTGGGTTGGCGTCGGGTGTAGCGGAGTCACAACGTGCCGAGCCGTGCGTTGACATCATCTGGCTCGTATGCTGACCAATGGGCTCCTCAGTACAGATTCGGTCCTGTTGGGAGGCGTGATATCAGCAGCTGGCGCCGCTCAAACATCCGGCATGCATGCAAGCCCGGCGACACATTGGACGCAGGGAGGAGGTGGCAAACCCATTGGATGGCGCGAGAAGACGAAGGCGGGCCGACCCAGTTGAGAGGTGTCGAAAATCGATAAAACATCATGCGAGGGGCTCCGGAGAAGGCCAGTGAATGCGCCCGACGCCTGCAACTTCCCGTTCTCACGCGATCCCAAAACTTGCGCCAGGGATCTTGTATGCGAACCTTTGTGTCGACCTTCGGAGATCGCAGATATTTGTTGGTCCAGTTATGGTCAACATCAAAAGTGATCTTAAGTGCCGCTTCTTCGAAGCCGCAGCCAGCTGCTGAGGCCTGCCACTCACGGAAGAATAAGCGGCCACCGGCATGGACGTGGGAGAGGAGAGGAGAGGATGGTCGCAAACAACCAGGGCTGGGGAGCGGACAAGAGCCCAGAACGGGTTTCAAAGTTCCAGAAGGCCTTCATAGAAAGCGTCAAGGTTGAGCTCTCCACCATGGCACGTCTTCTGGATGAGCGCATTGACGGCCTTGACATGCGCCTTGACAGCGTGTCCATTTGACTGTGAGTAGTGGGGCGTCGATTGCTCCAGCCTCACTCGCCAACGTTTGGGGAAACCCCTGAAGCTGCGGCTGGAGAACTGAAGACTTACGTCAGAGCAGACACAGACGGGAACGCCAAAGCGACGAATACCTTTCTGACGACTCGTATCAGCGGGCCGGCCCGAGTGTTTCCTCTGGCGACTGCAGAAACGTTCAGCCATACAGACTCTGTCCACACATGCTAGGAAATGCCGCTCAGCGTGAGACAACGGGCCTGACGAGACGTCCTCGGAGGTGCGGGATGGAAGAGTCATCAACGACTCCTTGGCTTGGCTCCAGCGGTACAGCTGGCACGTCTACAGCTGTGGAGCAGCCTCTTGATGTCTGAATCTAGGCTTTGCATGCAGGCAGTCTACCTGGCGCATGCTTCCGTCCGCTTAGTTCTTTATTGAGCCACCTGGGGGCTTCCAAGAGTTTTATGTTTAGCAGCAAGCCGTACGATGATCTTTCAGCAATAGGCTGTCCACAGCAAAGGCCTCTGTAGTTCGTCCAGTGGGGCCGCAAATCGATGTCCAGAAGCTACTTGGTTGACGGCCAGCTATTCCGAACTTGGTGGAGAATCCGTTGGTGTGTCACATCGCTGAATGAAATTCTGGTGAGCTGTTGAAATTGGTGGCCTTTGAAGTGCTTTGGAACCTTGCCGTAGCCAGAGAACAGCATGCCTGTCACATGCTTTACTTACAGTTCCACTTGGTGTACTAATCCGGCATATTTCGCTGTCGGATCATCCACAGGTACTCTAGATAGTACCTCCGTGATCTTGTGGTCTTTCGTTCTCCTCCACATCGCCGTGGAAGTGAACACTAACATGTTCTCGTTGAGACGTTGCAGTCGACGATCCCCCTGCCGCACTATGGCCGTGGCCCGACAGAATCGGCCGCTGAAGTGACTCCAGCCACAGCAGCTGTAGTCGACGATCCCCCGGGCGCACTATGGCCGTGGCCCGACAGAGTCGGCCGCTGAAGTGACTGCAGCCACAGCAGCTGTAGTCGACGATCCCCCGGGCGCACTATGGCCGTGGCCAGACAGAGTCGGCCGCTGAAGTGACTGCAGCCACAGCAGCTGTAGTCGACGATCCCCCGGGCGCACTATGGCCGTGGCCAGACAGAGTCGGCCGCTGAAGTGACTGCAGCCAAGCAGCTGTAGTCGACGATCCTCCGGGCGCACTATGGCCGTGGCCAGACAGAGTCGGCCGCTGAAGTGACTGCAGCCACAGCAGCTGTAGTCGACGATCCCCCGGGCGCACTATGGCCGTGGCCAGACAGAGTCGGCCGCTGAAGTGACTGCAGCCACAGCAGCTGTAGTCGACGATCCCCCGGGCGCACTATGGCCGTGGCCAGACAGAGTCGGCCGCTGAAGTGACTGCAGCCACAACAGCTGCAGTCGCGTGCCTCACCAATCGCTGAGCGGCCAGTGTGCGATCGGTGCTGCCGATGGAGTTATCACGCTTACAGCTGCTGTCCAGCGGTAAGCAGAGCGAGCTGTCCAGCGGTAAGCACAGCTGCTGTCCAGCAGTAAGCAGAGCTGCTGTCCAGCGGTAAGCACAGCTGCTGTCCAGTGGTAAGCAGAACGGGCTGTCCAGCGGTAAGCACAGTTGCCGTCCAGCGGTAAGCAGAGCTGCTGTCCAGCGGTGAGCAGAGCGAGTTTTCCAGCGGCAAGCACAGCTGCTGTCCAGCGGCAAGCAGAGCGGGCTGCACCTGCGGCAGGCCGGGCCATCTTGTCACTATTGCGATTCCTTACTGCTGAAGGGAAGAAATCAAATGACAGTCGGACAAACTGATTGCGCAGAAAACGATCGCAACGGTAGACTATCCCACGGTCCCAAAGTCCAGTAGTACCGATGGCCAATAAATCAACAAGAGTACGTCGTGTGTGTATCTGAACGGACAGAACAAAGGCGTTCGTCGCCCGACGCATGCCGTTCGTTCGTCGCACAATGCTGTAGCAGCTGTCGGAAGGCTGGGCGGGCACGATTGCTGGCAGCGTGTGCCGCCAAGAATGCCTACTCTCAGGTGGAGATCGCGGAGCACTGTCGGCATACTATCAGGTGGAGATCGCGGAGCACTGTCGGCATACTATCAGGTGGAGATCGCGGAGCACTGTCGGCATACTCTCAGGTGGAGATCGCGGAGCACTGTCGGCATACTCTCAGGTGGAGATCGCGGAGCACTGTCGGCATACTCTCAGGTGGGGATCGCGGAGCACTGTCGGCATACTCTCAGGTGGAGATCGCGGAGCACTGTCGGCATACTCTCAGGTGGAGATCGCGGAGCACTGTCGAGACCTGACATGCTTTATGACGCCAGCTGAACGTTCCAGGTGTTCAAAGTCTGATCAACGGTTAACTTCTACAACATCAGGGGTGATAGGAATGATCAAATTCTCGGAGATATACACAAAAGGCTGAAAATAGTACACGACATTCTTTCAGATAACCAAACGTACCGCAAACATCTGCAACACGCCATCCCCTTCGGTCAGCAATGCCATTCATCAGAGATCACTCTCAGTCCAAACATTTCAACTTTGCCAAAAGCAACGTGGGATGCTATGGTTACATCTTCTTAGCCCTGGGGTATACGTCTCATGCACGCAAGGTAGATGCCATATTTAAATTCCCACGCCCGCTAAACATCTCCGATCTCAGGTCACTCATGAGCGTCACTTACCAGCTGAGAGTATTTTCCACTGATCTCGCCCGCGCTGTGCAGCCATTGCGCGATCGTCTGATGCCCAGCAGCGTCTGGAAATGGACCAAGGAACGTAATGTGTCCTTCAAAACGGTGAAATCAGCATTAATGGGGCTGCCTGTTCTCCCTTCTTCGGCCCGACTCTGGCAACCAGTTTCAGGCAGACGCCTCCAATTCAGACGGGCATTTGCCTTTTGTCAGCTGATGTTTCTCTAATAACCATTTTGGAAATGCGTACCCTACAAGATGGCATCAATTTGGGGAAGTTCTAAATGGACGAAGTTGTAAACAAACAATGAATTATGACACGACCTCTCCAAGAAATGAGCTTAAATCAACGGCAGACATGTCAGCTGACGGCATCAGCTGATGTTTTGTTTACAATTTAAGCCACGTCGTCAGGGCATTTCCGCAAAGAAGAACCAAACGCCAACTGACCCGGCATTGTTGTGACCCAAATTCTCGACGCCACCCTGGTAGCAGGGCAGTTTTTATGCGATTCTGCGGTTCAGACTTCTGTGCCTGTCTTTCACATCCGACGCAGTGCATTTTGACGGGTCGCTTAATTTGTTGTTGCGTGCTGCGTGTCCGGCGGCGTCAGCGTTTTTGAATAGGAAGGGCTCTGCATGTGAAATTTATACCATTGGTGATATTCATTTCACACATGTTCCAATATTCAGAGGCCCACACATTCACTCACACATGCTCCATTCAATTTGTTGCGGTTTTAACGTACTCTTATTTCAGAGGCAATGTTTTACAAGAAGCCCATCGCAGTAAAAGCAATTTTTTGCGGTATATGGCTGTCCGGCATGGTCATAGTATCCCAGTGGTACTCGACTTCTGTCATATGGTAAGGGTTTATTTAGAAAGTCGTGTGCCATAAGCCTACCATCGCTGAGGTGGCGTAATCTGTTTTGTCGTTACGGTGAACACCTTATGCCTGGCCTCTTCCCCTCTCTCTGTTCTCTGAACCTACCAACTTTATGTTAATCTATGTAATTACTCATTCGGCCTGCGGTCGTAATCATGATTTGCCCGTGCATAATTGTAATGGCTTTCATGTCGTGGGTGTGAATGCAGTTTCATTGAAATGTTATACAATTGTTCATTAGCATGTCAGGACAGATATTTTCCGGCTTCTTAGACGATATATCAAGGAACGATCGATGAACGGACAGCTAAACGCCTGCTATGTGTGGCATTGGTCCTGTATCCAAATGAGTTTGCTAGTGTCTGAGCCACCCACTTTGGCATGCAACCGGTTTCAGGATGACCTGGTTGCCTACCACGCGCCTAGTGCCGCCTTCTGCGTCGGTTACTGCTCGTCTGGAACCCGGTGCAGCGAAACGGCCATCGGATCTGTGCAGTGCCGCCCTCGCCAACTACACGGCCGGTTCGTCCGTCATGCGCTTCAATATCGCCTTCCTGAAGACACACAAGTGCGCGAGCACCTCGGTGCAGAACATCCTGTTCCGTTTCGGTGAGCGCTTCAATTTGAGCTTTGTGATACCGCGTCGTGGACACTACTTCCGAACATCACACAGCATGACTGGCTACAAAGCACTGCCATGCCATGACCCTAAGTGCAACATATTTGCCGTGCACACGCGCTGGAACCATTCCGAGATATCGGACCTCATGCCTTCTGACACGGTGTATGTGTCCATGCTCCGCGAGCCAGTTAGTCAGTTCAAGTCGCTATACGATTACGTTCAGCTAGAAAGATTTTACGGCGTAGATATCAACGAATTTGTCGAGCTACCAGCGGGGCGGCGGCAAGAACGCCATCATAAGTTCGTCGGCGTCAACCAGATGATGTGGGACTTCGGCCTGCCGTCAACCGGCATGCGCTCGGAGATCGCCATCCGCGCCAAGATTGACCAGATCACAGCTGAATTTGACCTCATCATGCTGGTCGAGCGGTTCGAAGAATCACTGATCCTGCTCAAGGATCTGATGCACTGGGGCACTCGTGAAGTGACCTACTTGAGGTTGAACGCGGCCAGGGACCAGAACGCCTCCCACCTGAAGCCGACCACCAAGGAACGCTTACATCACATCCTACTCGCCGACCGCATGCTGTACCAGCACTTCGCTGGTGTGTTCGATGCCCGCGTGCGCGCGTTCGGCGTCGAGCGGATGGCGGCGGAGGTGGCGCAGCTGCGCGCCGCGAACGCCGCGCTGGAAGCCAGCTGCGCCGACCGGCCCACAGAGGACTGCTGCCTCAACCGACACCGCGGAGAAGCGCTGTACGTTGACCGTCTTCGGATCAGGGAGAGAGCGCTGAGAGACCTCGACCAGCGCTCTGTCCCCTGAACGTACGTGCCCCTGTCCTCACCGAGCGCGGGTCTGTACCGTGTGCAATAGGGCATAGCGTGCAACCAATCTCCAACTATGTGCGGAGGTCAGAACGGGTTTTTCTACACAACTGTATATGAAGGTCGCTGATTTTTCACTTTTTGGGGGACTGTTTAGGCTTTCCAACTTGCATATTTATGTTCTCAATGTAGTGTGTTGACTCCGGGAATAAATATACTTGAAAATATCCTTTATGTAGGTGGAGAGTTGTTAATAAAAAAGAACGGCATCACTAGCTTCATTGCACGGCAATAAATCAACCGGATGTTTTCCAAAGGTGCACTTGATGCGGCACGAGGCATGCCATTGGACAGAGCGGCTGCATATTTAGGTGCCGGCTTAGCATATGTACGGAAAACAGGTGGTGCATAGTGCCGTGCTGGCACGTTTAGCTGGTCACTTGTGATATGTGCTACTTCATCATGCTCATCAATGAACGCTTGCATGGGTACGTAAAATGTGAGCGCTTGCATGTATATGAAAGATGGCCTGTATGTGGTTTCACTTGTATCACATTTTTAGGTTCCTAGGTATATTGGGATCAAATGAGATCGAACGAGGCCAAAATCAAAATTGGTGTCTCATGTGCCCACAGATCTCTTCACATAATTGCAGTGATGTTAGATACCTGTTCTAAGCAAAAAGTCAGTGGTGTTCAATCAAGGTCAGTTACCTTGTTTGCCTTTATAAGGTAAAGTTAGCCAATTACTCACGAGATTGTTCCTATTTTAGCATTCATATTCGTCAGGGATTTCGCTAGGCGGCATGATCTTCTAAAAAAAATGTTGGCCCAGGTCATTTCAAGTCATTGACCTACTCTGACCATTGAAAAACCGTGGAAAACGCTTGGTGTGGTCCTTGTAATTTAACAAGCAAAATGAGCACCTCAAACAATTTATGCACCAATCTCTCAAGTAAAAAACAGATTGCTTCTGACTATAGTCAGACTTTTATGCCTGATCCTAGGTCAATGCAGTTTGTTGCAACACTAGATCTAATTAGTTTGTTGTCTAGAAACTACCTAAGATATGCATGGCTTCGCCGAACACTCCATTGCTGCATCACCTTGAACGATCCTCTAGAAATGCTCTACAATGACAGTCATGGCCTGGATTTGACCCGCCATAGGTCAGCGACCTTGCCAGGCTCATCCATTTTTTTACATTGAAAGATGGGCCAGCTAGTTTTTTTTACAGCCATGCCTGTACCCGCAACGTTTGGAAATTATCCTATAAAATCCTTTGAGGGTTAATTCCCCTCCACCCCACCCGAGTGCATGTAAAGTACCACACATCGCGCGCGATGTCCTTGTCTAGATGTCATGATTGGGCCCCAAGTGTCAACGAATAAATTACTATAAGCGGCGAAAGTTTGTCAGTCCCACCCAAGCGAAAAAAAACTCCAGGTACCTACCACAAGGTAGAGTGGGGGAAGTGTAAAAACAACTATATGGGTAATACACACTAGGGTGGGCCCTTTTTGCAACTTATTTTTCATCAACGGCTCTAGGTCGAATTCTGATGTGTCGACACATGGCGATCACGAATCAAGCCATGAAAACACTCATTGAGAAGTTTTCGTGATGGCGAAGCCAAAAAGTTTACGGAGCGAAGCACCGTTTTTTCCCAAATTGGTTAAATCCGTTAGAAATTGGAACTGAAAAAATAATAAAAAATATATGCCGATGAAGTCATTTATTGTCTACAAAATAGCATCACTGAAATCAGTCTGTGTCTATTTATTTTCGCTGTGCACCAACAAACGTTTCAAAACTCGATGCTTAGCGCCTCAGACTGATCATAGATGACGCTAGTGCTGGCCGCCCTCCCGTCGCCCGCTAGGCGGAGCTCTGTCTCGCATGGGCAATCTGGAGTTTAGGGCAGAGCGTAGCCACTCACTACACCTCCCTCCGACCCACCACTCGCCCCCCCCCCCCCCCCCTCCCCGCTTCTCTCAAGGTCCCAAGCGTTGCCAGCACCGGCGGCGCCGTCGCTGTCGGTGGCAGAGGGGGCGCCGTCGCTGCTGCCTGTAACGTTTCCTCTATTTCTGCATTTATGGCGGCCGGTCTTATAGCTCGTGCGGCTGCTTGGGCGGCGGCTCGTGGCCCACGGACTACAGGACTTGGCTGTGGGTTTGCCTTGGTGGCCTGTGGTGTTGGGCGCGCTGCCAGCTCTCCAGCCTGCCGGGCCACCCGCCGACGCCAGCGCTGGGTCGAGTGGCCGAGTCCATGAGACCAATGGACGTGCGGCGTGTAGACCTCTGGCCCATCAGGAACGCGGCGTCCTCCGGATGCTCCGGCACTCTGGCGGCTGACGCGATATCGAATAGCGTGTCAAGCCGTGCCTGAAGCCGCTCAGCTGACTGGCCGCCGCCGGACACCTTCGTCCTTCGAGCCGGCACCATCTCCTTCCACAGCTTGTTGATCAAATAACTCACACGGTTCATGCCCTTAATGGGAATGGATGCCCGCTCCCAAAAGGCAATCGTTTCATTCGCCACTTGTTTTGCTGTTCCCTTGACTGATATTTATTTCTCACCCTTGTTTAGTTCCATCACTTTTTGCGCTTCGATCTTTAGCAATCGTCCGATAACATCGCGACATCTGGGAAGCTTGCCGTTGGGCATGTCACACGGCACTACTTTAAAAACTTTATGCGTCTGTGCCTCACACCGACGAGCACTCATATTAATTACTAAAAAGTGTCAAAAATCGAAAATACCCAGAGTAAACAGAAACACTGAACTGAAAACACTGAAAAATTGTCTATACGCGACTTGGACACGACTCCCAAGCAAGGCCATACAAGTCTCACAAGGCTTTGTTTAAATGCTTTTGCCCCTACCAACGCCTTGGACCCCAGCGCCATATCTGGCCGTTCAACGCAAGTAATATTCACAGCTACATGGAGCTGAGCACGACGATGGAGACAATCAGAAGCGGGAAGCTGCCCATCGAGCCACCCTGTACGCTTGGGCTCACATCGGTGCAGCTGGCCGCTCTTGCAGACACTCCCTCTTAGCACAGGCGTTCCCTGCCACACACAATCAACCGAGAGAGCCGTCTGGCCGAGAGCCGTTGAGAGAGCCGGCAACGCGTCTGTCGGCGATGCCGGTGCCGATTCTGCCGATGCCAGCCCTAACATCACTGATGATACCTCAGTCGCCATCGCCACCAGTGCCGAAGTTGCTGCCTGTCACGCGGCTGACAGCACTGCGATCACGGATGACCCAGATTACGTTCCCCCACGGCCGCGGGGCACTCGAAACATTGAGTTGCGTCCGTTGGCTGAGGCGGCAGATGCAGCCGGAATTGGCACAAAAAAAAACAGCCAGGCTTATGTCCGCGGAGCAAATGTCAGAAGTTGACTGACTGCACCGCAGTTTTTTTGTGACGGCCGCAACGACCCGACCTTGTTCCAGCCGCAGCAAGGTACCAGCAGATTGGTCACAATCACCACCCACAACGTTTCCGTCAACATGCACCCCGGTGACCTGTATATCGGTCACTTTGAGTGTGAGGGCCCTCACACGGGCGAACACGTCGCCCAGAAGCTGCTACATCTACATGACCGAAAGGGGCATTAATATCGACCAAGTCACCACCATGGGCGGCGACGGCACCATCCAGGTGGTCGGAAGCAAGGGGGGCCGGATGGCCTGGGTGGAGGCAAGGCTCAGCTGGCCACTGACCCATGTGGTGTGTCTGTGCCACCATCTGGAGCTGCCCTACAGGAAACTGTTTGTACACCTTGGCAGCAAGACCACCGGCCCCGGCATATTCGAGGGGCCGATCGGAAGAGTTACGCGGCCCTGTCCACGACCTACCGGTGGCCGACTTCCCAGTAATTGAATGCGACGACTGGATCGAGCTTCCCATCGCCGTCGAGCGTGAGCTCAGCACCGACGCCAAACTCCTCTACAAGTGCGCCAAGAGCGTGACAGTGGGCGACGCGAGCTCGGTGCGCCACTTGGCGCGCGGCAAGGTGCACCATGCGCGGATGGTACACGGCCCAGAGCCGGCCACCGCGCCTGTACATGGCCACCAACAGCCCGACGCCGCAGCTGGCAGCGCTGGCCCGGTATGTGGCGTGTGTCTACGTGGCCATGGTGGTGCAGGTCAAGCACCAGTCGGACGTAGTGCACGCTGCACGGCACCTCACCGAGCAGCTGCGGCGCCAGCGAGCCCACTTCAGCGGCGGCCTCCTGCGGATGGCTCAACGGAGCGGCACCGACAATGCGCTCATGGTCCACCCGGAGAGCATCAGGCTAGGGATGCTGTCCAATCCCAGCAGGGAGGTGCGAGCTGAAGCCGCTAGGCTCATCTTCAAGACCCGCGAGACCCCGTCGACGGGCGAGGTTCGCCGATACGCCGTGCCGCGGGGCGAAGTCATCGTGAGCGCTAACAGCTACATGGATCTGACCACGAGAATGGAAACAATCAGAAGCGGGAAGCTGCCCAACGAGCCACCCTGCACGCTTGGGCTCACATCGGTGCAGCTGGCCGCTCTTGTAGACACTCCCTCTTAGCACAGGCGTTCCCTGTCAAACACAATGAACCGAGAGAGCCGTCAAACTGACGACCGAGGCGGTGGCGACGGTGATGGGGGCAGACAGGCAGGACGGCAAGGTGCTGAACATCCTTGCTTAGCGCCGCATGCAGAAACAGCAGTTGCCTAAGTCAGGCACTTAGGCAGCTTAGGCCAGAATGGGGCCTTGAGAGAAGCGGGGAGGGGGGGGGGCGAGTGGTGGGTCGGAGGGAGGTGTAGTGAGTGGCTACGCTCTGCCCTGAACTCCAGAATGCCCATGCGAGACAGAGCTCCGCCTAGCGGGCGACGGGAGGGCGGCCAGCACTAGCGCCGTCTATGACCAGTCTGAGGCACTAAGAATCGAGCTTGGAAACGTTTGTTCGTGCACAGTGAAAATAAATAGACACAGTCTGATTTCAGCGATGCCATTTTGTAGACAATAAATGACTTCATCGGCACATACTTTTATAATTTTTTTCGGTTCCAATTTCTAACGGATTTAACCAATTTGGGAAAAAACGGTGCTTCGCTCCGCAAA